TTATGGCTGTTTTTCAACTTGTTTTCGATTTAAATCATCTGATTGAGGGAAAGTAACTTTTCGATTTTGAACGACCCAGAGAAGCGTCTATACTCGGCAGTACGTAAACAACTTCACGAGAAGTGACGATCGCCATTGATCCGACAATCGATTTTTCGTTTTTTACCAAACATCGTTTTATTTCCAGAACTCGAGATTCGTGCTTCGCACCGCATTTCGTATTCGAGTCGAATCTCGAATACCATCTAGTTTTCATTATCAATCATTTCTTTAGTAAGATTTTCGTCAGTCATAGTAGGAAGATTAGATTCTTCTAAAAGAAATTCTAATGATGAAATAGAATCATTCCAATCGTTATCTTCAGTTTGTTATTTTTGTTATAAAATACTATTTGTTTCATATAAGAATGTAGGTGTAGCTGTGAGTGTTAGACAGAATTCCTAAATCCTTCCATCCAAATATCATGAAAGCGACATGATGACAGTCATCTGAAATGAGAAGAAAACCAGATAATTTTATCCTTGAAGTAAAGGACACAAAGGAATAATCAAAACATTTATGATCGGATAATAATCGTATGCTAAAAATGGATGATTTTTCTTGAGAAAGGGCAATAACACAGTACTTTTCTTTTGAAGACTGTTTTATCGATCTGGATTTTGATCATTGTACGCTTCCCTCTATCTTGAGGGTGTTCGTGTGGGTATGGCTAGAAAATAAGTTACTCATATCCCGCACCAGCTTCACACCCACGCTCACAGTTAAACCCACACCAGCCTCCCACACATATCCACCTCGAAAGGCACACGCATCATTCATTCAACCACATTCACCCACACCTACACTTGTATATTCTCAGTAGAAAATCAGCGACGTTTCTGACATGGTACTTGTTCTGAAAAAAAGAAGCATAAGAATTTTTTTAGAAAAGTTAGAACGATAAATAAAGTTGCTTGAATAATACTAGAAAGAGTATGTCTTATTAATTCCGAGCAATCTCAGCGTAAACATGAACAAAATCAGTAGAATCTGTTAACTCTTTAAATGTTCCATCCATGCTTTGATTTATCTCTTGTGAAATATTCATACTTGTATCGCCAAGAGCAACAGTCCAAAACTGATTAATCTCAGTTTTCATGGCTGATAATGTTTCCATTTGACTAGAAGGAAACTGTCCCTGCCCGTCGCTCATAAAAATAATGACATACTCTGAATGACCAAAAGCATTACATGCTGAATTCTGCATGTGCGTATTCCTAATGACTTTAATTACCAGATCAAATGCTTCGCCGAAATTTGTTCCACCATTCGTAAACTCTATTTTCGTTATATCGACTGATTTCAGGTCTTCATTAAAGTAAGCATACTTTGCACGGCTGTCAAATACGATAATCGTTATACGATCTGATGAACCGGAATCAACACGAATCTTAATGAATTCTCTAACGCCGTCAAGTAAATTCTTCCATGGTTCACCACCCATCGATCCAGATGCATCAAGTAACAATATATAATGAAGTGGTTTTGCCGTAGCTTGAGCTGTATTTTCTGTTACAAACTTCATATCGTATTTTTTACACAAAAGTTTACCAATTCTACTCCAAACATTAAGAAACTTGCCGCGCAATTTAAACAATTCATCTGATGTAATTGAATTACCAAAATCCCAATCACGATAATCATTTTTGAATTCCGACCATTTTTTCTTTGTACCTCGAACAACAATTGGTTTGTTATCTGTCATCTGTTCGCACTGGAATAATGATGCTTCATTTGAAACTTCAAATTTAATGCCAGCCATTGCTCGTAGTTGATGACCAGTTTGACAACAATGACGGTTGTCTTCATCGCCTGAAATCATAAAAATAAAAAATTGAGCGAAAGATATATTTCTTTCATAAACTGTTTTGAACCACTTCCAACTATTTCAGTGTTCTGTGCTGGAAGAAAGTCAGGAGCAGAATTTCATGATATTCCAAGACTTAATTATGCGACAGTGTTTCATAAATGGTGTGACTCATACCCGTTCCTTATTATAGGTAGAGACATTGTTTTTTTCCTTTCTTCAAGGGAGTATATAAAGATTCTAAACTCATTCAAGAACTGCCGTGAATTTAGTCTTTGAATTATCATTAAGCCCTGTTTCTGACTTGGGTTCATCACAGGAAATCGAATTATTTGAGGGTCAGGAGAGGTCATGTATGCCAACCTTTTTCAAAAACAAAAAAAACATTACAATCTAACGACTATTCCTACTCAAGACGGATGCTATTCGAAGTAAGTTCAGTTTTACGTGACAATACCTGCATTAGATTTTATTAAAGTATGATCTATGTCACAAGGCCGTTGACAGCATGGACATTTCGAGATACACCCACGTACTTTATCCGATAATTTGTTATAAATTTGATCTTTATCATAAGCTTTAAATGTAGTTGGAGTTTTATCGTATGCATCTTTAATTGTTTTCTTAGCACCTATAATACTTTCAAGGAAGACACGCAAATTTTTTATTGAAGCGATTGTCGTTCCATTATTGTTACAGTTATCAATATCTTTCATTCCATTAATCAAGTTAGCTAATCTGCGGCTTGGGGTTGGTAATTTTTCAAATAATTTCAGTCCTTTTGCTTTCAATGTGTAACTCTCATTAAATACGGTATATGATGTGCCTGGTTGTATTTTATTACCTGACAAATAAGCATACAGTAATAGAACCATACATTGACCTTTATTTTTTAAATTGTCTGCTGCAATACCACCTGATGCTAAGAATATATCATCAATATATTGTACAGATGAACCCTCATTTAGAAGCGAGGACATCATAAATTCAATACGACTAAAAAACTCAATTAAAATATTTTTCCATTGATTTTTTTCTTGTTCTAACTGTTGATTAATTGTTTTTTCAACTTCAATCCACAATATCTCGAATTCTTCTATGATGATATCTGTTGGTGCATCAATATAACGAAATAACCAATCATCATCATTTACAGCTGCATGTAATTTCCCATCACAAATTATTTGAATTTGTTTTCGATTTAAATGTTGTTGTGTTTCAATGATACGGGTTATTATAATTTGCGCATCACGTACTAAACTCGATTGCACAGCACTTTGCACTTTATTTGCAAAGAGTTCACCTCCTTCATTGTCACATTGAGCATCTGGTACAACCATACTAATAAAATAAGTTAAAAGTGATGGTTTTTCTTTATCTAATGTCAAAATTTGTTGATTAAAGTGATGTTTTTGTTCATCATAATAAAACATCGTCAACAATATAATAATAAAAGTATGTATGTATGATTTTGTCTGTTTAGATAATGCCAATTTGAATACAAGTAATTCAAGATTTATTTCATTTATAATTGTGTTAATTATACCCACAATTTTTTGTATTAAATCAACTTCAATTGGCCGAAGAATTGTACCGTTTCCCTCAACTATTGCTATTGTCTCCTGTAAAATTTTGTTAAATAATATTGGCAAACATAATATATTTGACTTTGCATTTGGAGCATCTTCCATTTCACTGTAAATTGTACGATTGACCTGATGTATGTAATCATATTTTAATGGTTCTACATTGATAACTGTTGTTGTTTGTTCAGTTAAAGTTGTTGTTGATTGTCTGAGACCAAGAACACGTGTCAAAGCAACAACACCTTTCTTCATAACATCAAATCCTGAATGCCTTGAACTTTGCCTTTTATGCGAGTGTCCATTTTGTTCGTCTTGATCTATTGAACTTTGTCTTTTATGCGATTGCCTATTTTGTTTGTCTTGATCCATTGGACTATATCTATTATGCGAATGCCTATTTTGTTCATCTTGATACGTTGGGCTTTGTATATTATGCGAATACCTATTTTGTTCGTCTTGATACATTGAACATTGTCTATTGTGCGAATGTTTATTGTGTTCATCTTGATCTATTGAGCTTTGTCTTTTATGCGATTGCCTATTTTGTTTTTCTTGATCCATTGAACTATATCTATTATGCGAATGCCTATTTTGTTCGTCTTGATACATTGAGCTTTGCGTTTTATGCGAATGCCTATTTTGTTCATCTTGATATGCTGGGCTTTGCTTATTATGCAAATGTCTGTTTTGTTCGTCTTGATACATTGAGCTTTGCGTTTTATGCGAGTACCTATTTTGTTTGTCTTGATCCATTGCTTGCATGTCATAGGTGCCGTGATGCAGAGTACTAGCTTTATGGTGATCTTTCAGTATTTGCTTATTTAAATGACTAAAGTTGTCGATTGTTGCTAACGTATATGTAATATTTATACTCGATTGTACCCAGTGACTCTCCAAAGCAGCATTTTGTTGACGAGATACACTTTGAGCAAAATGCAATTGTATTGGACCAGCCATAAGTTTTACATCTGATTCTTGACTCAATTGAGTAATAAATGGTAAATGATGAAGTATGTGTTCATGAGATGGTAAACATTGTTTTTCAAAGATGTTATAATTGCCATAAACAAACTTAATTGCTTGTTTTAATCGCTCTTGTGGATCAAAACTTCTGTTAATTGATTCTAATTTTCTCCCCCACATTGTCTCGAACTCTTCTATAGCCTTTGCTTTTGTCATGGTTTGTCCACTTTTAATTAAATCATCAATTAGTTTTCGAAGGTCATCAGAACCATCTCGGACTAATACTTCCATTTTTTTTTGATCATACGCTTGTAACACTGCTGTACACCAAGCATTTCTAATTTCTGTTACTTGTCGTTTCAAAAATTGTGTACATCTGTCTCTGATACGTTCAGATGCACTGGTAGCTTTGAAAATAATTTTTAATTCATTATCTAAATCATTTTGATGTACATCGAATTTCGCTTGCAATTGTCTTCGTATTTCATTTTCTGTTAGTTCGCACAAATCAGTTATCGTTTTCTTTCGATAATCTGCTGGTAATGTTTTTGATATAAGTTCGCCAATGTGTTGGCGTATTCGATCATCTTGCCGGCGTTCATTAATATCTTTAAAATATGTTAAATCTGGAAATTTTTGTAAAGTATCAAAGATAGTAACAGCCAGAGCTCCGCGGGACGACAAAAATGTCGTCCCACCCCGTCCCATGTCCCGCGCTTCCTTGTCCCGTCCTGTCCCATCCCAGGTCATTTTTCTTTCAGGATCCCATCCCGTCCTGCGTCC